ATATACAAGCGATTTACTTTAATGAGGTTAAATCTAATCGTCATAAATATTGTCATTTAGGTTGCATTTAAGAGATTGAAATCATTTGTGGTTTCATGGCTGATTGAGATTATCCTAGTCGACTGGTGTCCAATTCGTACTTAAGAGACCAGCGCCTTGAGAAAAGAACGACGTTCGAGTTAATATGACATTTGAACCACATGTTCCTATACTATAGCGAACGACCAAACGTCATTGGCTGATAAAACTTTGCGATTTCATATAAGGATTTTCGTACGTAGGCAAGTAACTCGGTGGAGAGATGTCTTTAATGGTAGTGATAACCTTATAGGGAGGGTAATTTGTGTCTCAGGAGAACGTGTCATGTAGCACGGGACTGCGGAGTTACGATTAGCGTACCTTGCCGAATTTTATGTTATATTGGAATCGTTTCTCTTCGACCAGAGGGTTTTTCGCTGAAAGGCATAAGCCGATGCGTCCAACACCACAATCTGAAATATATATATATATATATACATATATATATATATATTCTTAACCATTATTCAAATATATTGATTTAGTTGAAGAAATGTGTATGAATGTAAAATTTTGCAATTCATAAACGATACATTAACATTTATTTGCCATATGAAAGGGCTATAGGTTTAATGTTATATGTGACGAAGAAAGATACGGTTCCAAGTCCGACTGGAGAGGTGGTGAAACTTGAAAAAATATAAAAAAAAATATAATTATTAGCTATATATATTATATTATATTATTTTAGTTAAAAAAATACGGATGAATGTCGAGTTTTGTAATCCGTAAATGATACATGAATATTTGTTTGCGAATTATAGACTGGTTTCTTAACTATTATTCGAATATATTATTTTAGTAGAATAAATATGTACGAACGTAGAATTTTGCAATCCATAAATGATACATAAACATTTGTTTGCTATATGAAAGAGTTATAGGTTTGGTGTTATATGTGGTGGAGCAAGATACGGTTTCAAGTTTGATCGAAGGGGTGGTGAAACTTAAAAAAGTATAAAGAATAATATATATTTTTGATTATGTATTATAATATATTGTTTTAGTTGAAAAAATACCGATGAACGTAAAGTTTTGCAATCTGTAAATGATATATGAAACTTTGTTTGTGAGTTGTAGGTTGAATTTTGTGTGTGGTGAACCAAAATACGGATCCAAGTTCAACGACAACTAAAAACAAAAAATGAATGTAAATTTTTGACTGTTTATTAAAATGTATTGTTTTAGTTGAAGAAATGCGTATAAATGTAAAGTTTGAAAATCTATAAACAATACATTAATATTTGTGTTTTGCCATATGAAAGATTTGTAGGTTGGGTTTTGTGTGTGGTGATGCAAGATACGGATCCAAGTTTGACCACCCTTGTAACTTGAAAAAAAAAAAAAGTATATTACTAACTATTTATTAAAATATATTGTTTTAGTTGAAGAAATGCACATGAACGTAAAATATTTCAATATGTAAACGATGAATGAACATTTGTTTGCCATATGAAAGAGTTGTAGGTTGGGTTTTATGTGTAGTGAAGCAAGATATGGATCCAAGTCCCCTACAACTTGATATATCTATCTATCTATATATATATATATATTAACAATAAATTAGAGTATATTGTTTTAGTTTAAGAAATATTGATGAACCTAAAGTTACTTTGAACCTGTTTTGAGTAAATGTTGAATGTGTTGTGCTCTATATGTTCATTTGAGTCTGTGTCAGTACTTTAACTGATCTTTGCCGCGTTTTTTTTTTTATGTGGGCATAACTCGCACCACGTGTATTGCGGGCACTAAGCTAGATCTTGCTTAGAGCAAGGGGTAGCCTGCACTACCGGCGCTCAACTAGATCTTGCTTAGAGCAAGGTCTAGCCTACACTACCGGCGCTCAACTAAATTTTGCCGTGTTTTTTCATTTGCACAGTGAACGTTAAGCTAGTTACCGTTATAGCATTATGAGAACCGTGTAGCAGCCACATCCGTGTTGAAGCCTCCAATGAGGAAACATGCCGGAGGAAACATGCCCGAGACGGACCCACTAATAGGTGCAATACCCACTACAACAGGGTTGTCGGCACCAGCAGGTGGGCTATACCCACCAGTAGCATCAGAGACCGAGCTTCATCTCACAAGCGGTTAACGGGGACCCCCACTTTTCGGCCCTAAGTAACGATGAATGGTCCTGAAATTAGGGTTTCGGGGTCAAATTTTGTGTTTTTTTGGAATTTGTTTTTTGCCTATTTTTGTTTTGGGACAAGCTCGCTGTGTATCAAATTTGGTGTCATTAGGGTTATTAGAATTTGTGCTGTTGATCATCCTGAAATTCCGATCAATTTTTTTTTGGCAAAATTGCCTGAAAATGCACTTTTGAGGTGTTGTTTTATGTGTTTTTAATTATTTTTTTATTTTTTTATTTTTTAAATATGTTAGTAAGAAGTGCACTTACCTGCCGTTCGGGGAGGGTAAGCGTACCAGGTATGCCCAGGTAGGTGAGGCCAATGGGAATTGAACCCTAAACCTCATGAATGCCACATGTGTACCTTACCAACAGAGCTACTGGTAGGTAGGCTACTGTCACACTCTTGTTTTTCTATTTTTTTTGTTTTTCTCAATTTCACATCATGCATCCCCAGCAGTGCTCGCAATTTTTGTGTATGTTGTGAACTGGATCCGACCTAAATCTAGTTTGCAAAAAAACCTACAACTGTACCCAGCCCCAACTGCAAAACGAAATTATGGCCAGCTGTTCAAACTGGATAGCGGGTTTTTGCAAAATTTTCAAATTGCATCTGGCCCGCCCAGCAACCTGAAAAAATGTTGAATTGCACCCAACCGAACCAGGACCTAACTTTACATCATTCTAGCCGCCCAGACCCACCGTGAACTGTCATGAGCCGCCTTTTAATTTTTTAAATGTGAAACATCAATATTACTTTTTTTTTCTTTTTTGTACCTTGACTCCCCCATTGATTTTTTGTTTTTCAAGTAACTCAAACATCGTTAAAGAAGACATTCATCATAGAAGTGAGCACTCCGGGATAGTGGTCTTACCCATAGATGTTTTCAAAAAAATATAAATTACAAATTTTCCAACTTCACCGAACTTCACCCATGTCCACTGTCAGGACTCTGCGTGCGTACACCAACAAGGCACGCCCCTGTTTCTGCGACTTGTGTCCTGGCAGTTTGCCGCCGGGGCTTCACAACTTCAAAGTCCGTCTGCCTGCTGCCCCAAGGTCGTTTCCCGCTCGAATGACATTGAACTGACACTCCAGAATCTCACTTGTAGCCCCCATGGAACCGAAGTGTTAGGGCCTCGTTCCACTACCCTCGACTTGAAATAAATCTCAAGGGCAGCCCTACGGGCGCCCTTGAGCCAAAACATCATTAAAAAATACTAGAGGTCCTCCTCGTTCCACTACACCCTGCAGTTCCCGCTCACAAAAGGAGCGGAAAAATGTGCGGCCCGGTTCGTTGTAGATTTTTCACGAGTTTGTTACTGCTTTTGGTCCAGGGGACATAGGAATGTCCTCCTTGAACAGCGCCGCGATTCGAATTTCCGTTCGCGGCCTGCACCTTCCGAATTCGAAATTCGAATCGCGGCGGTACCAGTCACTGAGACCAAAGCAACGGGCGTTGTATTCGGGGTAACACATCATTCAGCTCCCGACAGCGCTGCGCAGCTTCATAGCGCTCTGCCCCGCGTTCATGGCCATATTCATGCGCAGTGTGGCCAACCTAGCGAACGACAGGGGAAACGACAGGAAGGGACAGGGCGGCGGCAGTGGAGGAACCGACAGGACCACGAGGCGTGGAGGACAGCGGAGCGACAGGCAGCGGCAGTGCAGGAAGTGACAGGGCGGCGGCAGTGGAGGAAGCGACAGCGCTATGCCATGCTTTCAGGGTCACATTCATGCGCGGCATGGCGGTGCAGTGGAGGAGAGCGGAGCTAGAGGAGGTCAGCAGTGGGCGGCAGTGAGCGGAGCTAGAGGAGGGCGGCAGTGCTTGGAGCAAGGGATCGGGGCGACCTTGAGACATGCAGAGGGCATCCCTTGCTAGAGTGGTGCACCTGGTCCACGCTTGCCATCCCAATTGAGCAATTGCAGAGGGGGCTTGGCTCGGAGGACTTTTTTTTTTCACAATCCCCACATTCATCCACAGTCGGACACGTCCACTTAGTGGCTCTGTCGTCACCTTACACCGCACCCACATTCCCACCCTGATTGCAATCCTCCTCCCATAGCCGTCATCGTCCCATGCTCCCTTTTCGTTTATCTCGCCCAAGACATCTCTCTATTATATTTGATCCGCCACCTCAACACGACCGTTCAGCACAAAGGTCGTGCATGACAATTGATAACCTACATCTCCCCCATTGTTACCATCAGTTCTGACTCAATTTACTCATTTACCCCCCAACCATCTCCTTTCTCTTACTCACCAGCCCCTCAGTACTTCCGTTAACCCGTCGACGTTCACTGCACCTCTGACCGCACACCCCCACCATCTCTCACTCCCCACCTCCCTCGTCACACTGCCCAAGAGCCGCAGCCAAATGACCATCGCCATGGTGGAAATACAAATCATTCCTCGTCATATACACCATGCTTTATGACAAACAGAAGTAGCCACATGACCATCGCCACCGTTCAAGTACCTGCACGTCACATACACCATAGTTTGACAAATAGAGGTTAATTACACCTCCATCTCAACCTCAACTGTCACTCCATCCACATGGCCTGACACGTACGCTCTCGCTCCTCCTCGCTATCCTTACGAAGGACAAGGTTGCGTATACCTTCGCCACACTGCTCCCCCTCTACTCCGAGCCGGTACTGTGAGGAGGAGGACCTGCTACGGTCTTTCATGGTTCAACCCTCCTGATGCACTAATTAGACATTCCTCCCTCCCTCACACGCTCGTCTAGCCATTTCTGAGGCTCGGAGGACTTGGTCAATCAGCTTGGGCAAGGTTTACAACTAAAAAAAATAAAAAATAAACCCTGCTAAGTGAGCACCTCCCGTGACTGTGAGCAGTGTGGACCACAGCAGCAGCACCTCAGCGCAGCACTTGCCCTTCGGAACAACATCACCATCAGACATGCAGGACGGTGTGAACAACGAAGAGGTTGATGCACCTGTGTCATGTTCGTCCGGTCAGCGTGCGAACATGACTGATGGAGTGTTCCCTGGAGTAGGAAGACTTTCCCTGCAGCAAAAGCTAGGTGTCGTCATCGCAATCGTGGCGGTCATCAGACACATGGGAAAACAGAGGGAGATGGCATGGGAAGCGGCACTGGTGCGTGCAAAGAGGTTGCGGCTAGTCAGTCCATGGCCGAGGGAAGTCGTGAACAATGTCACGTTGTGGGATGGGCCGTTGCTATTGGCTAACGCCATTGTCGCTGACATCCTCCTGCGCCAGCCGCCAAGGTGGTGGATGAAGCGAAGGACGGGAGGGACATGGGAGGATCTTTGTGTCCATGATGATGCCGCAGAAGAGTACTTCCATGACAAGTTGTGGATGTCGAAATCTGTCTTCTATGGCATTGTGGCTGCGTTGTCGTCATATTTGCAGCGGCAGATCACTCCCTTCCGGCAACCGCTACAACCCAAACGCATTGTCGCCTATGCTGTGTATCGTTGGGCCTCAAGTGAAACATACGACAGCGGTACATCCAATTTCGGGATTGGGAGAGCCTCAGGCATAGCTGCTGTGGAAGATGTGACGAGAGCACTACACCGAGCATACCCGGACAAGATCAAGATGCCGACCGGCAGCAGGCGTAAGCAGGTCATGGACGCCTTCGAGCGCAAGAGGTTCCCCCGCTGCATGGGGGCCATTGACTGCACGCACTTGTATGTGGACAAGCCGGCAAACGCACCAGCGGAGAATTTCTGCGATCGTCACCGACAATTCTCTGTGGTGGCTCAAGTGGTGGTGGATATGGACATGCGGATTCTCGATGTCTTCGTCGGTTACCCTGGAAGTGTCCATGATTCTCGTGTTTTGCGCAACTCCTCCCTTTACAGGCGTGCGCAGGCCGGGGCCATATTCGACGCCGACCCACTCGTCCTACCTTACGCGAGGCTATGTTCTGGCTGATAATGGGTATGGTGCCCTTCCTTGGTTGGTTATTCCATATTCGGGCCAGCACGTCCCGCCGGATGAGACGAGGTTCAATGACAAGCACAAGGCTGCAAGATCGGTGGTGGAACGTGCTTTCGGGAGACTGAAGGGGATGTGGAGGTTGTTTCTTCACACTCACAAAACAAATATGGACACCCTTCCCCAACAGTTCATGGCAGTGTGCATCCTACACAACATCCTCATCGATGCCAGGGTGGAGTTCGATGAACGGTTGTTCATGGATGTCGACGAAGATGGAAATCCTGTCCCGATCGACATCGGTCTGATATCTAGAACACCCCCCATGAACATGGGGAGTCCCGCTGCACTTGCTGTGAGGACTGCATTGAAGGAACGAATGGCACTTGAGTAGGACTGCATTCAAGGACCAAAGCAGTCAGTACCATGCACGGATTCTATTGTCATACTACACATATTCATATGTAAATACAAATATACAGATATGCATATGTACAGACTGAATCAAACATACAGATATACAGACTGAATCAGATATACATATATACAGATATGCATATATACAAATATACAAATATACAAATATACAGATATACACACACCACGCATATGTAAATCCAAACAAACAGATATACAGACTGAATCAGATATACATATATACAGATATGCATATAAGGACCGCATAAAGACAGACAAACATGCATACATCTATACAGATACACATATATGCAAACATGCAGTCCACCTGATTGTTTATGTTTTTTTTTTTCTTCCCACATTCATTTCGAAATTCTTGGAAGTGTCTACATTCAACTCCCTTTCCAGCCGTCTGCGTGAGTGAAGGTCTGTTATCGTGAATGTTCTGAAGTGGAAAGCACTTTCTAGTAGTTTGGTAGACCAGGGTTCACTTTGTTTGCTACTTCACTAGTGTGCTGTACTAGAAATAAGCGGTGGGCGGTTGTACACTACTGGTAGGGGTCATTTAGTAGTACTGTGCTATACTAGAATAGTTATGAAGTCGAAAGCACTCTCTAGTAGTTTCTAAGCAATCATGGGTAGAGCAGGGTTCACTTTGTCTGCTACTTCAGTAGTGTACTGTACTAGAAAGAACTGGTGGGCGGTTGTACACTACTAGAAATAAGTAGTGGTAGGGATGGTAGGGCAGTTTAGTACCAGTGTTCTACACTATAAATAAGTAGTGGTAGGGATGGTAGGGCAGTTTAGGAAAGCAGGCATTGAGATATGAGGTCTGTAGTAAAAGATTTGCAGGCTTTTCAGCCTGTAAGCTAATCTGGATGATGCTTCCAGTAATGTTTCTCCGGGTGTAATGTACAGGACCCCGGCCTATAATCTGCTTACAGTCATGGAATTCGAATTTCGATGAACAAAAAAGAGAAACTGTGCAGTCGATGGGACACTGGACCTGGTTTCCAGTCTATGGTAATGGTCCCACCGGTTACTTGCGGGTAGAGAGTAAGCCATGGGAAATGAAGGAAGCAAGAGGAAAGAGAGAGCGAGAGAGAGGGGGGGAGAGAGAGAGAGAAGAAAGCAAGATTCATATTTGCATAGAGGGAGAGTGAGCGAACAAACAGAAGATGAAGGTTGAGCCACAAAGACACAGAGAGAGAGAGAGAGAGAGAGAGAGAGAGAGAGAGAGAGAGAGAGAGAGAGAGAGAGAAGCGATGGTGCTGATTGTGAAGAAACAGAAGGCGCAACAGAAGGTGAAAATTCCAGGCTTTCGACAGTGATGTGGTCAGGCCTCAAGTGTTCAGAAGCATACGGGAGCTCGAGTCCCCCCACGAACTGCCTGGTGCAGGATGGGGGTAGCAGCTGCAAAGATCGTTGTGTCAAGACTTTCTAATCCACCCCCAGAATGGAGAGCTCCGAATTCCACTTTTCGACACACCACTCTCGAAGTGTGTAAAAGTAAAAAAAAAAAAAAAAAAAAGTGACAAAGACAAATATGAAAATAAAAAAGACAAAAATGTGGCCGGTGAATCTGGTCATGGTCTAGCGGGAAGTTCATTCTCACTTTGCACATTTCGAGTGTGGTATGGCGATGCCCAGAGAGTAATGGGCTGTCGGATTCTGTGCCTTGTCAGAATCATGGGTTGTCGGACACCATGCATGTGAGAACTCTGAGGGCATACGTTTTTTTTTTTTTTTTTTTTTTTTTTTTAGAGGGGAAACGCCCCTTTTGGTGCTAGTGGTGTTGGGAAGAGAAGGCGCCGCTAGCACCTCATTCTTCTTTCTTTCTTCTTGTTTTTATTTTCATAAAAAACTATACTGTATTCTTCTCTCAATGTCACCTTTCACTACCTATCCACCACAACTTCTTAGGATATACAGGGGACCCCTGCAAGCGTAGCGTGCTATTTTCATTCACCACGATGCACACCATCGGAGATTCCTAGATACATCTGACCTCAATTTGAGCCCGATTGCCAGCCCTATTTCAAATCCGGTTAGTGTTGTCACCCTTAGACAACATGCTTGTCACCCAAGTCACCAAAGTCACCCAGGACAGAAGGTGATCAACCGCGATGGTGGTGATTGTGAAGAAACAGAAGGCAAAAAGGAAAACAAACAGAAGGAGAGATAGGAGAAGAAAAAAACACCACTCGTTGCTCACCTATTTTAATCATTAATCCGTTCACAGATTTCATTCAATCCATTATTAGCGGATTTCAATCAAAATCCATTCGGGGATTCTTTTTTCTTTTTCCAGTTTTAATCAATCGGTTCTTGGAGCATATCCCCCCATCCTTTTTCATTTTTTTTTTTTTTTACATTTAGAATCATCTAGGGCGGGACTTGGGCTGAGGACCGGCGTGCCTCCGTTGAAGAGAAGACAGTGGCCCCAAGATAACTATCCCACTGCCCCCCCGTCCCTCTCGCCAGCTGTTCCTCCCTCCCTCTTCCCGTCCTCTTGCTATTCTCC